CAAGTGTAAAGGCTTTCAGTACAATGTCAACCAAAGTCACAATGTCAACGACGGTAATGCATACTGACAAACATGTCATTGCATACTGCCAAACATGTTATTGCATAATGCCAAATATGTCAACATAAAATATCAAAAAGAAAGTGAAATGTCAATATTGCCAACATACAATATCAAGTTTTGTCACTATCACCAAATTTTGCTGAATCTAAACACAACTAATACAAAAGCAAACAAACAAAAAATTAAAAGAAAAACAATCAAATACAGAAATGAAAAGAAAAAACTAAACCAAAATCAATGCCTAATGAAGATGCAATTCAAGTTGTATTATTATTATTATTATTATTATTATTATTATTATTATTATTATTATTATTATTACTACGATGGAGTTATTATTATTATTATTATTATTATTATTATTATTTATTCATACATGACCTCATCCATAATGGCAGCCATTTAAGACTCTCCCCTCTTATGAGGTGAATTTTAATCATTTTGTACAATTGCGATTGCTGTAAGGCATTGATTTTGTAAATTTACCTCATCCATGTTGCCAGAAATATGAGAAAGGGCTGTGAAGGAAAAGTCGGTGGCTTGGGCGGCCATTTTGTAAATTTACTTCATCCATAATGGCAGTCATCCATAATTAATTACTCATATTTAGAGGAGTTTAAGTTTAAACTTCTATTTTGAGGATATGACATATGTTTTACTCCTATTTAGGGGGTTTTCTTAAAAGAGAACCGAATGTTCAGAAATGGATTATTACTTGTAAAATGTTAAATTAATCAACTAATTATACATTTTCGCCTATGATTTTTTAATATTAAGTTAAGACTAAATAATACGCTTGTTAAATAAAATGCATAAAAAAAATTTGATACATCACTCTTTTTAAATTTTGCTATTTGTTGTTTAGGATTTTTTTTATTTCTCAAAACATTAAAGTATAAATTGACATTGGTATGACATAATACCTTGTCATAAAATTAAACCGCATGAATATTGTTTTACAAAAAAAACTGAACCGTTTTAGACGTGATCACCTCTAATTATTTTTATTAATAATAATTAATTAGTAAAAAAATTATTTGCGGGTGATACGAGTTTTGTTGAAATAACTCGCAGGTCATTACATTTTCAAAAAGACACCAGGGGTCCTTACATTTTGTTATAAAGACTGGGAGGAGACATTTCATCCACTATTCCATTAACGACCCTTAAAAATGTGGTTTTTTTTATTTTGTCCTTATTGTAGTCATTTTAATTACATTTATTTTTTATACGGAGTATCAGGCAAACAATTTTCAATTTATGAAAAACACTTTCATAAGGAATTGAAAAAGACTTTATGAAAAAGAAAATTAAAGAAAAAGGTAATTAAAGAGGAAGTCTTTGAGCTTTATTAACATAAACCATTAAGGACAAAATAAGAAAAATACATTTTTAGGGTCATTAACAGAATAGTGGATAAAATGTCACCTTCTAATTTTTACAACAAAATGTAAGGGTCCCTAATGTCATTTTGAAAATATAGAACTACGAATTATTTCAACAAAACTCGCGTCACTCAATAGTAATTTTCTGAATTAATTAGAATATGTGGCAGAAGAGATAATTGAGAACAAATTTCAGAAGGGTAGAAATAAGTATGTACCTACGAATTACTATAGTTTTTAATAATAATACCCTCAACGTAATATAAAATTAGAGAAATTTACTTAAATAAGATTACTTACTTTCTTCTCACCTAAATTTTAAAAGAGTGAAAAAACAAAAATATCAAAAATAAAGTGGTTATATTCGTTTTAAATGGGAGCCCGAAACTAATGGAATTATATATATTTTTTAACAAATAGGATTAAAGAAATCACCTAGTAACACATAGAGAAAGTATCAAAATAAGAGTTCTATATATTTTTATTCCCTAAATAAGAGTTTACACTGTGGTAATGTGACACAGTAGATAAGCATGAGCATTTTAATATACTTTTTGGTAATCTAATGGTCATGATTAGTATTGTAAATCCATTTTAATTCTTATTTTGAAAATAAAAATATGGAACTTCTATTTTGGTATATTTTTAATATTTTTTCCTACTTTAGTGTTTCTCCCATAGGATTATATGTTTACAAATAGAATACTCCGTATTATTACTATACTTTTTGGTAATGTACATTGTCATGATTGGTAATATAAACACATTTTAACTCTTATTTCGAAAATAAAAACATGAAACTTCTATTTTGATATATTTTTAATGTTTTACTCCTATTTTAATATTTCTCTCATTGGATTATATGCTTACAAATAGAATGCTCCGTATTATGTTGGCATGAATTGTAACACGAGTATTACGATATCTATGTTTTTACCATTATTATTTGCCAATTATTAGTAATTGTCAATGATTTTCTTTTTCTACATCTTCAGTATATTACTCAATGTTTTGTTTCATAAAACACATAATAATAATAATAATAATAATAATAATAATAATAATAATAATACCAACAAAAGTTATTGCAACACTTTTAACTTTTATTTGAATCAAATCAGATAAGATGCATTTAAATCAAATAAGATCTAATCAGATCAAATCAGGTGTAACTAAATTACGTCAAACCCAATCAAATCAGATCAGATCCAATCAGATCATATCAGATTCAATAAGATCAAATCGGACTATATCATATCCAATCCAATCGGATGTTCAAAATTAGATTTGATTTACTCGAATCAAGCGGACAGAACAAAGCTTTAAGCATTTTATGATGTTTTTAAAAAAATATATATTTAAAGAAATCATCCTAAATAGGCGTAAAACATATCGTTTATCCTCAAAACGAGAATTTCATATTTTTATCTTCAAAATAGAAGTTGTATTGTGGTATTATGACAATATATAGTGACATCTGACAGTGTTTTTTTGTATTATATGCTTACATTATTAGCATTTTAGCTTCTATTTTGTGGATAAAAAATATGAAGCTCTTATGTTGATACTTTTTTCATGTTTTTACTTCTAGTTTGGTTAGTTTTCCATCAATTTAATTTATTGAGATTTGATCTGATATGAAATAATTTAGTTTGATTTATTTTTAATACGTCATTTGTTTAATTTAATTTTATTCAAACTAGAATTATTTTGAATTCCTATGATCTAACATTTCTAGTTTATTCTAAATTTTTTAGTTTTTCAGTAGCTCCTAAACTCATCAACGTAGTATATGTTCAATCTTATAATCTCATCAACCTTTTAAACAGAGGTATAAAGCTCAAAAACTGGATGTGAAGAAGTTTGGGTGACTTCATTGCCATTATTTATAAAAATAAATGAGAAAGAACAGTTCTTTAATTGTAGAAAAATTCTTGTGTTCTTTAGGTACATACTTAATTTGTGGACTTTCATACACGAATACTTTTATGTACTACCTCTGTCCCAGATTGTTTGTCCAATTTTGACTTTTTTCAATTAACTATTTTCAATCTTTGACTTATAATTAAATAAAATATATATTGTATATATTATAGATAAAATAATAATGTGAAAAATATTATATATAATAAATCTAATAAAATTATTTTTGTATCAATATCTAATATCATTTTTATTTGATTTAGGGTCAAGGTTTATCAATTTTGACTAAAAAAAGTCAAAAGTGGATGGAGGGAGTATTAGAATTGTAAAATAAGGAAATCTAATTATGAACCCATGAAAAATATGTGAAAAGATTCATATTTTACATGGACACCTTAAATCCACAATAACAAAACACTGATTGTAGCATCTGACTAGGGGTGTAAACGGATATTAATCGGATCGGATGTGCCATTACCAAATCTGTATCCGTTTATTTTTGTCGGATTTCGAATTCGGATACGGATCTTGACGGATACTGAAAATCAAAACCGTAACTGCATCCATCGGATATTGGTCGGATATCGGATATATCCGTATCCGTTTCCAATTTTTAAAATCAAATTAAACAAAACTTTAATTTTAAATTAGATTAAAGTCAAACTATTATTAAATCAACTATAATTTGTTATGGGATAATTATTTTCTTTGTTTTCGTAATTTATGATATTCTACGATAACTTGATATGATAAAAAAATATACACAACACACATATACACATATTTTGATATGTCTTACATATTTTTATGTGTCTACACATTTATTTTGTATATAAAATGTCTTATATTTTGAAATATCAATAGAGAAACAAAATATAAATATAAAAAAATTAGGAAAAAACTATATATAATGGATCGGATATTCGGATAAATGGTTATTTAAACGGATGCATATTCGGATCGGATTTTAAACGGATCGGATATACAATTACCAAATCCGTATCCGTTTAGTAATCGGATTTCCTTTATCGGATATGGATAATATCCGTTTAAAACAGATGCGGATATTTTCTCTTTAAACGGATACGGATGCGGACGGTAATCGAATTTTCAGTTATCTGTTGACAGCCCTACATCTGACCTGTTGTGGGTCCATTAAAATCCGTCCAAAAAGGCAGTCAAACCAGGGAATTACCAAATAAGTCTTCTATATATATATATAATGTAGAGATGTTGAAAATATAGTGCCCAGTATGGACTATTATGGTGTTGTGGTGAAAATACTACATCTGTTTTAGTGTATTTGTCAAGTTTGATTTTTTCAAATCAAATTAAATAAATTATGAGTTTTAATTACTCTTAATTTATATTGTATGCTAGTATAATGAAATAAAATATTGAAAGTTCTCGATAAGATAAATTTAGTGCCTGTTTGGGAATAGCGTTGGCGATTAGCGTTAGCGTTTTGAAAAAGCTATCTACGGGCAGCGTTTAGCTTTAGCGTTTTCAAAGTAATCTGCACCGTTAAAATTTTATCCAAAACTCTAACGATAATCTCTAATGATATTCCCAAACAGGCCCTTAATCAAGTCATTTTTTATACAAATATACATTAGAGTTTTTATTCAATTGAAACTTAAATTCATCACTTGGTCGGAAAAATAGACATTACCTTTTTGACATTTAAAAAAGTACTCCAACTACCATAAATTCTTTCTTTTAATTATTACACCTCATGCAATAATGTTTCACCACTTTGATTGAGGGTGGGTAATTTGATAAACGCGGACCTTTTTAAACTTTCTTAGACTTTGGTAAATTCTTTCTCTTTGGGACGAGAAATGCTAGAGTCACAAACACTTTGGTCATAAAATACACAAACATGTCATTTTTTTTCATCTCACTAAATGAATAAAATGACGTTGAATAANTCTTCAATCCACCTCGTGGAGCTTCACTTGCCGGAATCCCCGGATCTCCCGCCCCACCGCCACACCACCAACGGCCTCCCGCCCCATCTCAACCTCACCCTTCAAAATGCCCTCAAGTCGTCCGAACCCGCCTTTTCCGACGTCATGGCCACCCTGAGACCCCACTTGCTCATCTACGACGTTCTCAACCCGTGGGCAGCACGGGTGGCCGAGTCGCACGACGTTCCCGCTGTGCGACTCTTCACTATTGGTGCTGCCACGAGTTCGTACTTGATCCACCATTTGTTCCGGGAGAAGGAAGAGTACCCTTTTCCGGAACTCACGTTGAGCACCTACGACCGAGAGAGGCTTCATAAGTTGTTAGAAAGAAGGAGAAGCGCGTCGAAGGACACCGATACTACCGTAGACAGAAATGTGTGTGTGTTCATTGCCTCGAGAGAAATGGAGGGGAAATATATGGACTATATAAGTGAATTGTTCAGAGGCCGCAAGGTATTGCCGCTTGGGTTGCTGGTTCGCCCGGAGCAAGACCACAACGACCATTTCAAGGCGATCATGGAATGGTTAGGAAAGAAAGCGGAGAAGTCGACAATGTACGTTTCTTTTGGGAGCGAGTGTTTTCTATCTGATGATGAAATACAAGAAATGGCCCATGGGTTAGAGGAAAGTGGAGTGAATTTCATATGGGTGGTTAGGTTTCCAAAAGGTGAAGAAAAAGATCTAAAAGTGGCACTTCCAAAGGGTTTTCTTGGTAGGGTTGGGGACAGGGGGAGAGTGGTGGAAGGGTGGGCCCCGCAGGCGAGGATTCTTTCCCACCCAAGTGTGGGAGGGTTCGTGAGCCACTGCGGGTGGAACTCGGTCATGGAGAGCGTTGTGCATGGCGTGCCCATCGTAGCAATGCCCATCCAATTTGATCAGCCCGTGAACGCCAAGTTGGTTGTGAAGATTGGGGCGGGCGTCGAGGTTGTCAGGGATGACCGCACCGGGAAGTTTCGCCGCGAAGATGTGGCGAAATCGGTCGGTGACGTCATACGCGGAAAAGTGGGGGATACTCTGAGAAGAAATGTCAAAGTGATGGGGGAAGATGTGAGGGCCAAAAGCTTGAAAGAGATGGATGAAGCCATGGGCTTGATGGCACACCTTTGTCGGCATGAGATGCAATAATACTCCCTCCCAGAAAGAATGTCACGGCTACTATTCTGGCCTCTCGATAACTTTTGTTTGTTTACTCGTTTTGGTTGACCATTTGATAAAATAAAATATTTTTGTCGCATCTTATTTTGTAGAACTTTTCATATACTTTTGAATGATGTAATTTTTTACTTTTTATTACTCTACCAATTTAAAATTAAATTAATTTTAAAAGAGATGATATTTTGCACGTCGTTCGAAGTGTTGCAAATAAATTGGGACGGAGGGAGTACATAGGATTATTGCTCCTATTGTTTGTTGTTTGAATTTACTCCACATTTATAGTTCGTACGTGTTTTCAATTATGTGGACAGAGTCCTCTTTGACTTATTTCTTGATTGTGAAGTCCAACAAACAAAAATGCTCTAGTGACAAATGATAGATTTTGGGTCATGGGAGAATTTTGAAGATATGATAAAATATAGAATACAAAATTTGAGAAAATAATATGATTTGAAATCGGAAAGAAAAGTATTTGGAGAATGCGAAATTGAAATTGAATGAAAAAAATAAGTCATAAACAAAAATATTGCATAAAAAAATAAAAAATGAGGCCAATAAAGAGATTGCTACATAATACATTCATTTGACAACCGGAATGAAATAATGAAACTTAGATTTCAAATCGGCTAAAAAAAGCCAATTTAGAGTGGCACTATATTAGAAGATAGTGCATATAATATGATATTTAGACATGTAATTTACCTAAATATTACTCGTATTAAAACATAGTGATTTTCTCAATGTAGCATCATATGTTTTTATTTCTCAATGTAGTACCACTGGTCATTGTTCAAGTACATGTCCACCACCACAGGGAATTATTCAAACTAAATATCCCCAATCACTGGATATTGTTCCCGCAACTAGACATTATTCGAGTACTATTTAAGAAAATAAAAAAATGTTAATACTACATTGAGAAATGACATATGTTTTAGTACTATTTAGTGCAAATTTACTATTTAGATTCCTTTTTATTTTTCACCAAAAATGCGTCGTTTTACTCCCTTTTTTTAATTTTAAAAAATGGAGTAATTAAAGATTTACGCGGCTGATTTAAAATTAGTTTTAAAATAAGAGAAATTTACTTAAATAGAACTAAAATATAATGACTTTCTCGAAATAGCACCACATGTGTTTTTTCTTCCCAATGTAGCACTTTTAGTTATTATGCATTAGTCATTATACAAGCAAATATCTGTCATCACTGGACATTATGGACATTATTAAGTGCTATTTAGAGGAATAAGATAGTTTAAGTGCTATTTAGAAAAATGATTTAAGTTTTAGTGCTATTTAGTGTAAATATTTCTTAAAATAAGTCTGTATGGGCGCCCTTTCCTTTTCGTCTTCTCACCAACCCACCCAACCATTGAATAATTATTACTCGGGGTAAATGATATTCTTTTTTTACATAAAAAAAGCATGATACTCTTGTTTTTTGTTTTTTTGTTCAATTAATAAAGTCATTAATTGAACAAAACAAACTCTAAAAATATAAAATCATTGTTTTTCTCAATTTAAAAAAATCAAAAACATTTTTTAATGAAATACATTATTGTCATCTTATCCCTATATTAGGAATTATAGTTAGATGTTCCTTTATCTACTTTTAATTTGAAAGGTTATACTCGGTAATCTTTTATACTCACTCCGTCTCAAAGCTTTCTTCTCATTTTGAATTCCTGTGATCAATATTTTTTAACTTTGATCATGAATTACAGAAAAATATATTAAATTATGATACAATTTTAATATAAATAGATTTATTTTGAAATATATAATTTTGAAATATCATATTTTTATAATCAATATTTATATACAAAAAGAGATAACAATAGTTAAATTATTACATTTGATATCGTGAAAAATCAAATATGAAGAAAGACATGAAACAAATGAAGTACTCGGTATTATGATTTGTTCCCTTACTCTCTTTCTTGGTTTTTCGCAGTAATTTTTTGCATGATTAAATTTTATCCATTTTTTTAGTTATTTTTATTTATTATTTGATAAAATAAAATAATTTTGTCACCACATACTTATTTTGTAAATCTTTTGAAGTACTCCCTCTGTACCAGAGTATTTGTCCATTTTTATTTTTACACACCATCCAATACACTTCTTTAATACATTTTATCTTGTAGTTTGTATATTAAAAAATTATAGAAATTATATATTAATAATCTACTCCTTCCGTCCCGGAAAACATGCGAGTTTTGGTTTTGGAGAGGGATTTAAGGAGAATGTACTTTGGTATTGAATTTCTAAAAATGTCCTTTGATGTGATGGGTAAAAATATGATTTGATGGATAGATTATTAGTAAAAAGGTATGATGTGATAGGTAGGGTATGAAAAAAGTAAGGGGTAAAAGTGATTTTTTAATAGAAATGAGAAATGCTTTTTGGGACGGATGAAAAAAGAAAGGAGAAATGTTTTCTGGGACAGAGGAAGTATATGTTAAGACAAATCAAACAAGATCACACATCACTATACTTAGGTTTACACATTGAGAGAATTTGATGAGTCAAAGTGCTTAGATAAACAGTTCCAAGAGTCAAAAGTGGACAAAAACTGGGGGACGGAGGAAGTAATTTTTAAGAGTGGATTTTGTTTTAAATTTTTAGACCAATATTCACAGAAATTAAATGAATTGATTAGCTTTGGTCAAATAACATAACTTGAAACAAGAACTTAAAGGGACATAGAGCCTAATAATTTTGAAGTGTTTATAATTCTACTACTCCCTCCCTCCTATAATGATCTTTCCAGAGCAATATTCCAACTTCACGAGAATTTATATTTATTTGTGTTTTTTCATGGCCTATATGATAAAATAAATTATTCTTGTCACCACTTGTTTTGTTGAACTTTTGGTGTAGTTTTTAAATATGTATGTTTTATTTTTTATTTCTATACCAATATTTAAATAAAATAGATTGAAAAATTTGAGATTTTTCTTCGTTTTGCGAACCAGGAAGATCATTAAAGGACGGAGTGAGTATAATTTTTTTGATGAAATACATAATGAATTTGTGACCCATTGCAAATTTGCTCCTGGCTGGAAAGAGATCCTTTAGTTTGAAATTTTGATAGTCAACCAATCTAGAAGCTTGGACTATTTGAGTATGACAAAATTGGTCACATGCGCCTCGTAAGAGCATTTTTCTTGCAATGTGCACTATTTTGTTTCCTTTTTAAATGATTTACACACTTTATTATTCACAATTCACCTTTATTTGTGTGTTTTATATTGACTTTTGATGAAATAAATTGTTTTTGCACCTTTTAATTTGTAAAATTTTTTATGTACTTTTTTATATGTAAGTCTTATTTTTTATTTAAATAAAATAAATAAAAAAATTAAATTTTACTTGGTTTTTGTGTAAATACTAAATAATTTAGGGGGAAGGAGAGTAGTAGAATGATTCTTTTCATACGAAGTATTGATTATCAATACGGAGCATAACTCTATAAGGTAAAAAGTACCAGAAAATTACTTACGGGTGACACGAGTTTAGTCGAAATAACTCTCAAGTCCCTTGATTTTTAAGAAAACAACAAAGGTCCTTACATTTTATTGTAATGACTTGGAGGGGACATTCCATCCAATACTTCATCCATAAGAGTTAATAAAGATATTTTTTCTATTTTGCCATTACCATTTTTTTCCTATTTTGCCATTACTCGGTTTTTTTCTTTTTTAGAAAATTTTTTTATTTTATTAATTTTTATATCATACAAACAATTTTGAATTTGTATACGATTATATAGAAGAAATTCTAAAAAAAACACTCTAAAAAGAGTAACAAAAAACAAAGAAATAAAAAAAGGAACGACCTAAGAGTTATTACCATAAAATATTAAGGAAAAAATATACTCCCTCCGTCCCAAAAAGATTTACACCTTTCAAAAAAATTGCGTCCCACAATTTCCTACCTATTTCTATTAAAAAACCACTTTTACCCCTTACTTTTTCAAATCCTACCTATCACATCATACCTTTTTTCTAATAATCTACACATGACATCCTACTTTTACCCATCACATCAACGGTATTTTTGGAAAGTCAACACAAAATTATCTCTCACTTAATTTCAACTTTAGTCAAAACGTGTAAATCTTTTTGGGACAGAGGTAGTATTTATTAACGTTTATGGATGAAATATTGGATGAAATGTCCCCTCCCAGTCATTAAAACAAAATGCAAGGACCTCCGTTGTTTTCTTAAAAATAGAGAGACCTGAAAGTTATTTTGACAAAACTCACGTCACCTGCGAGTAATTTTCTGTAAAAAGTACTACGTACTCCCTCTGTCCCTAAATATTTGTCATACTTGTATTCCCGAAGTAAAATATCAAGTTTTTTCAATTCATTTTATTTATATATTGACATAGAAATAAAAAATAAAATTTACATATCAAAAACTACATGAAAAGTTCTAGGTGTCAAGAATATTTTATTTTATCAAATAACAAAAAAAAATGTACAGATAAACAAAAATTTTCGCAACTGCTAAAAAAGCAAACGTTACAAATATTTAGGAATGGAGGAAGTATATAGTACGCGCGAATAATTGAATGGNCACTGAATTATTAAGAAGCATTGGAGCAAAAAAAAAAGAAAGGGCATGTGAAATTCTTTGAACTACATAGTACTATTAAAATTCTTTAAACTTTGAGTTTTAATTAAATTAAAATTATAATGTATATGGCTATAAAAATTATTTTATTAGATTTATTTAATTAAGAGCTTTCAAAATTTTATTTTATTATACTAATATTCCATATATATTAGAGTAATTGAAGGTCAAAATTTATCCAGTTTGATTCAAAAAAATCAAAGTTGACAAATACACTAAGATAGAGGTAGTATAAGATAAGAGAGTGGGGTAGAAATTATGGTAAAGAGGATTTTGGTAAAAGATTTGTCTCATTTTTTTTACATAGTTAATAAAACTAAAATTATTTGATTGAGATTTATGGAGACCATTAAAGAATATAAGTTTATTG